TTTTATATATATATATATATATATATATATTATTTACTTTTTATAATATATATATATATATATATATATTAATTTATTATAAAAAAATTGTTAAGTAATGACACACATCTTATAAAGATATGATACTTGTTATTAAAAATTATTTTTATATATATTATAGATACAATATATGTTGATATATTGTTAAAAAGTGTAAATATAAACTATAGTGACACTTTTTATATGTGACTATATGTAACATTTTTTGCAATGATTATTTTTTATATCTAATATGTTAAAATATATTAATATTTTATTTATATTTTATTCTATTGTGTAATTTCTTTCACTTTATGACAAAATTGTCTTAATTTTTATTATTATTATAATATACTTTTTTTTTACTGAAATATTTATTACTTCTTTATTCATTAAAGATGTCATAATTTAGTTTACAAATATAGGTTATTTTTTAATTTCTATTTTAGTTTTTAACTCTTTTGATCTTATATATGTACATTATGTATTGGTAGGAGAGAATCCAAATTAAGAGAAATGAGAGTAATTGTCACACAAGATTTTTATTTATTTTTACTTAAACATATTTAATAAAAAATAAATTTACTCTTATTAAAAAAAATAGGTGTTGTTCTCATAAAATATTTTTATTTTAAATGAACGTAAAAATTTAGAAGAGATACAAAAGAAAACAAATAGTAATTATATTATCTTTATCTTAATCATTTATACCATTTTGTTCCTCTAAAATTTCAATAAGTCATTAAAAATTACAACATCACACTTAAATATAATATCATATAAAACAAGGAGAAATTGTCACTCTATTTATGAGAAAATTTTAATTTATAAAAAAATGGGTATATTAAATTTTGTATCACAAAAAATATACTTTTAAAAAAATATATTATATTTTAATAAAAAAATTATTATAAAATATTTTATTACCCCTACTTAACAAATTTTTTAGATCTGTCACTATAATATAATATGTATGCCTACTTTACACACAATTCTCTTCATATCATCATCACAAGTACACATCACATAATTTTATCACAAACTCAAGTCATTCACATACCATATCATCATCGTTTCATTATTTGTATCACACATTATCATCATCTAGAATATTATCATTCACCAACATCTCAAACGTTGCACATAACATTCTCAAGTCAAACATTAACATTTCATATCATATCACAGATAATTATCTCATTAATATAAAATTCTCATGCCACATATAAACATTTCATATCATGCACATCACATAAATATGAGCGACGAAGGTAATTAAAATTCCTTAAGGATTGTGACTTTGAGTTGAGTTATCACCCTAGTAAAGCCAATGTGATAGTTGATGCCTTGAGTATGAAATCCTTGCATGTGTCATCCTTAATGATTAGGGAGATGGATTTGATTGCAGAATTTAGAGACTTGAGCTTAGCATATGAAATTACCCCTAATAGTGTGAGATTAGGCATGATGAGAGTTACTAGTGACCTATTAGTTGAAATTAGGGAGAGTCAAAAAGTAGACCCATTTTTGGTAGCTAAGAGAAAAGATATAAAAACAAGGAAAAGATAGTGACTTTATTAGTTTGAAAAATGATAGGGTATTGAGATTTAAGGATAGAGTTTGTATGCCTAGAGACCTTAAACTCAAGAAGTTAATATTAAAAGAAGGATACATGAGTAAGCTTAGTTTCCACTTAGGAACCAATAAGATGTATCATGACCTTGGAAAATATTTTGGTGTCCTAAGATGAAAAGAGACATAGCTAAGTGTGTAAGTGCTTGCTTAGTGGGGAGAAAAAAGATAGACACTAGAAGAGGGGTTGAATAGTGTATATAAAAAACTTGCACGTTTGCAAGTCAGTGAAGTAGTATCTACGACAGACAAAGTGTTAGCAAGGGTAATCAATGAACACAAGAAGTTTTTATACTGATTCATCATAACCATTGAGACTATGTCCAGTTCTTAATCCAGCTAAATTGAATTCAACTAACTTTCAACAAAGTTATAAGTATTCTTTCACCAAACCACTTCTGGCTCAACACAAGTGTTCTTTGATTGGTCTCTTTAAGCCACTTCCCAGGTATTCTTTTTACAAATAAGCCTCTCCAAGTTCAATATCAAGTATTCTTTTTCAGACAAGCCTCTTCGGGCTTTACCCTATAACAATGGTTATAAAGGTATTACAAGGTTGTTGTTACCGTCTTTATTAGATGTGATTACAATGAAAGTTTAAGAGCAAGAAATCTTTTGAAGAAGATTTTCTATGTGTGTGATTCTCTTTATGTTGTATATGTTATGTATCTTTGTCTTGTCTCTTGAGTTTTAGAGCATCTTATATAGTAGCTTCAAAAGAGATGACCGTTGTAGCTTCTTGAGTCTGATTCACAAAACTAGGTTTGTCTTACTCCTTCATCTAATCTAGAGAGAGAAGAAGTATTCGTTGGTGCATTAAATGCTCCAATAATGCCTTTCACCAAAATGTATTCCTTAGCTTTGATAGATCAAGTTACTTATCAAAACAAAGCAGTAAAGTGAGAACAACAGGAAGCAAAGTCAATGTGCAACAAGGATGCAGTACTTTTCCCGTGTCTTTTTTGTGAAATTCAATATCTTTGTCCTTTGTTTTGA